CCCCCGGGCTCCCCCGCCCTCACCTTGGCCCCACTTGGCCCTCCCTGATCCCACCTTTGTCCCCACCCCTCCCTGCGCTGCGCCCTAATCCGCTGTCGCCCGCAGGACATCGTGCAGATCGTGGCCCAGCTGGTGTCCAAGGACGTGGACAGGGACGTGCTCCTCCCCCACCCGCTGAGGTCCGTGGAGTCCACCAATGCCTTCCAGGCCTTCCTGGCCCAGAGCACGCTCTTCTGGCAGAACGCAACTTTGAAGGCCTGGGCCTCGAGGTCACGCCCCTCCTAAGAGCCCCACTCAGCCAGTGACTGTCTTCCAGCGCCTTTACTTGGGGGTCCTAAGGGGCGGCCAGCGGGATCCGAGGTGCAAAGTCACGACCCACCCACGATGAGAAAACAGGCCAGGAGGACCCGTCTCAGGACACGCTGCCCCCTCTTGAGGGCTGGGTCCTGGCTCTGGGCTGTTGGAAACCGCGTAGGGGAGGGGTTCCCTGACCCTACCCAGCTTGAAGAGGATACTGGAGGGGTCTGGGGCTCTGGGTGAACAGGAGGAAAGTGGGATATAGCCCGGGCCTCACTTGATGTGGAGGCTGCTCACACTGGCATGGCCAGCATCCTGGGGACAAACTCCTTTGGGTGGCCTGGGAGGGCAGGGATTCCCACACAAGCCCCACCAGCAGGCTCTGGGTCATGACTCAGTGCCTTGCTGGCTTGGGCAAGGGTCCTGGGCTGGGGAATTGGACACCTGCCTGCACCAGGTGGTGAGATGGGTATCAGAAGTCTTGGAGCGGGTTCCATGTCAGGAACTGCCTGGGTCCTGGTGCCCGCCCAGCCCTGGAGGCACCAAAGAGGTCTCACATTAGGTCCTGCCTCTGAAGGCCCAGTTGGGCACACATGACCCAGGGGTGATGCTGTGGTGGGGACAGCCAGGGCCAGGGATCCAATGAGGTGCCCTCACCAAAGGAGGCCTCCTGGCCTCTGGCCAGTGAATGTGGTGGTGGACAAGGGCTGAGAAGGTAGTGTGGACAGAGGGTCTGAGGTAGCTGTGAGGAACTGGCTGGAGAAGTGGCCACTAGGCCCTGGGCCTGCAGTGGTGGCTGCCTTTGTCTCAAGATTGTGGGGCCTGAAGGAGGTTCTGGTTTGGGGGTGACAAAGCAGGTCTGTGTTTTGGGGAGACCAAGCTGCTTGGGATGGGGGCTGGCAGGACAGCAGTGGTGGAGAGCAAGGCCCCGTGGACTCAGTGACAGGGTGTGACTAGTCTTCTGTGTGGTGGTGGCTGGGAGGAGGGGACTTTTGGGCAAGATGAGGGGATCAATTCTAGATTGGGTGAGGGCAGCCACCAGGGCCAATCAGCCACCTGGACTCCCACTAGGCTGGCAATCCTGCTCCCAGAGCCCTGCTGAAATGCGGACCTGACCACACTGTCACCCACCTGCTGCCTCTGTACACTGCGGCTGCAGCCCGACTCCAGTTCTCTGCTCCTGCCTCTCTCTCGTCCTTACTGCAAGACTTCCACCTCCAGGAAGCCTTCCAGAATCACACAGCTAGTTCTCTCTGGAGTCACCCAGAATGTAATTTTGTCCACCCTAGGGACCCACTGCATTTCTCAGCATCCCTAGGGTGGGTGGAGGGCAGACCACAGAGCCAAAGGGACTGGAGGAGGTTGTCCTAAGGGTGTAGATGAGGTTTGGGCTGGACCCTGGGGGACATCATGATCCCTCCCCCTCCAGCTCCCCCTCAGAGGCCTCTGATGGTGAAGTGGGGGGTGGGGTACTCTGAGCCCGGTTCCATGCTGAACAGTAAGATATAGGTGAGTCCTGCCCCTCTCCTCAGGTGCTCACAGTGCAGAGTGGAAGCCAAATGGTAAACAGTAACCATAGAGGTGACCAGCACTGTGAAATTCTCTGTGCTGAGTAGCTTTAAGGGCTCCATGTTATCGTCTCTAGTGACTGGTGGGTTCTCCTGGTCTCACATGGGTGTCCCCTGAAGCTGCAGTCATGGTGGTGGCCTGAGATGCTGGGATGGCCAGCCTCTCCTCTCCTTGGGCCTCCCTCACAGGTAACATCCCCATCACAGCAGCAGCAGCCAAAGGCTCAGGGCCTCTTAGGGCTGCCGCCCAGAGCTGGCCCAGCACCCATCTGCTGCCTCCTGGTGGTTAACATGGCCACAGGGCCAGCCCGATTCACCTTCAGAATGAGCTTCACCTCTCAGTGGGGACTGGCACCAAGCATGGGGCCCTCTCCAATAAAACATGGTGCCACCAGACAGGTGGCAGTGCCTGGAGACAGTTTTGGTTGTCACAGTTGAGGGTGTATTAGTTTTCTATTGTTGCTGTAACAAATTTAGTGTTTTAAAACAAATTTATTAGCTAAATTCTGTAAAAGTCCAAAGTGGGTCTCACTGGGCTAAGATCAAGGTGTTGGCAGACCTGTGTGCCTCCTGGAGGCCCAGGGGACAGTCCCTGTCCTGTCCTTTTCCAGGTTCGAGAGGCTGCCCACATTCTGTGGCTCATGGCCCTTCTTCCATCTTCAGAGCCAGCTCTCTGGCCCTGTCCTGCACTCACCTCTCCTCTGCCTCTCTCCACTTCCCTCTTGCACATTTAAAGACCCCTGTCATAGGGCCAGCCAGTGGCTCACTGGGAGAGTGTGGTGCTGATAACAGCAAGGCCCCGGGTTCGGATCCCTATATAGGGATGGCCGGTTAGATCACTTGGGAGAGCGTGGTGCTGACAATACCAAGTCAAGGGTTAAGATCCCCTTACTGGTCATCTTTAAAAAAAAAAAAAAAAAAAAAGACCTTGTCATTACACAAGACCCATCCAGACCATCCAGAATAATCTCCCCATTTTAGGATCAACTGGTTAGCGACCTTAATTCCCCTTTGCCATGTAGCCTAGCATACTTGCAGGTCCTGGGAATTAGAATGTGGGCATCTATGGGGAAGGGGGAGCATTCTGTCTTCCACAGGCTGCTGCTGGTGTGTGGCAGGAGGGGCCCGGGTGCTGCTCAAGATCCCAGTGCACAGGAAGGTCCCCCACAAGCAGGCTGGGAAACCTTGGAGCAGAGGAGGGTCTGAGGAGGCTGGGGGCAATGTGAGCAAAAGCTATCAGGATGAGTAGGGGTTCACTCAGTAGCCAGGGTGGGCCATCCTAGGACAAGCAGAAGGGTCTTGACGGCAAGTGGAATCCAGGGGAGGCTGGAGAGGCAGGCTTGGAAATGGGAAGGGTCCTGGACGAGTAGCCTGGGGCTCTGGCCAAAGTCTCACGGCATTGGCGAGGTTAAGACGTCACCCCTGGCCACTGCTAGCAGTGGACACTGCGGCGCGCCCACCGTCCTTCTAAATCAGGTGGGTTTCTCCCGAGCTCTAGGAGGCGCAACCGGCCTCTCTCGGACTCGCGCGACCCCCACGGCAGGGCGCATTTGGGTGCCCCGCGCGCAGGCTCGCCGAGGCCCGGCCGCGTGGTCTCTGTCGGCCCCACCACGCTTTCCGGCTCGTGACTGCGACCGAAGCGGATGCCACTCCAGACACCCCAGGCAGACGGGGGCCTCGCGCCGGGAGGACCGGCCCGGGGCGCCTGGGAGATGTAGTTCGTGCCTTCCCTGGGAGCTCCAGACAATGCCCGCACCGACCCGGCGGAGGAAACGAGCTCCCGGCTTTGCAGAAGGACTTTCTTCCTGCTAAAGCAATGCGACAAGGAATGCTGTTCTTAACAAAACGCCCGCAGTCTGCCCACTGAAATAACCGCTGTTAACGTGAGGTGGAGGTTATTCCGGGTATTGGTAGTGCAGAGCTACTAATAAATCTTACGATATTTAAAGAGAAAAAAATTGCTGAAATCAGATGAATGCTTCTTCACCCTAAGTTTATTTTTGTGTTTTTCTTTTCCTCGTCACAGGTTTAAAAGATTCTCCTACCATTATTTTTAGAAATGACAAAAACTTTCGGAGATGGGTGTCATCTGCTCTTTAGGCATCCTTCAATTTAGGTAGTATTGACTGACTTCGAGCTTGGAACGCTGAGGAACTGGCACAGACACCTCCCCACCTCCTCTGCGGCCATCAGATACCGATTCTTGTCATTTCCTGGGGGGGGGGGGCGAGACTCCACCCTGTGCCCTCTCACCTGCCACCCCTGCACGCTGGGTGCTCTGCAGGGAGCTTGCTGCCAGGGCTCACCACTCACATTTTTTGTTTTGATTTATATCTGTGCTTACTGGACTTACTGTCACCCACCTGCTACCAGTTTTTAATTTTTTTTTTTTTTTCCCTTTCTGTCTTTTTTCGTGTCCGGCAACGGAATCGCAACCCTTGGTGTTGCTCCCGCACCTTGCTCAGCCAGTGAGTGGGACCCGGTCTGTACGTGGGATCCGAACCCTCGGCGGGAGCGCCACCGCACTCTCAAGCGGCGCACTGTAGCAGTGCGCCACCGGGCCGGCCCCAAGTTTTTAAATTTTTAAAGAACTTTATTTCTTAGGTTCTTGTGTGTATAAAAATGTTTTCCTGAGTCCTTTATACTTGTGTAAGAACTTGGCTGGGGAAGGAGTTCGTAGGTTATACTTTCTTTCCCTGAGGATTTTGGCTTCAAGCTTTGAATGTTGTTGGAGAAATCAGAGGCCAAGCAATTTTTTTTTCCTCCTTGTATGCGATATGCTTTTTCTGAAAAATGGCTACATTAATCCTTGAAGTTTAATAGCAGGCAAAAATAGGTCTCAGAGTGAATCACGCTGTATCAGGTTTTTTGGAACATGGTGCTGTGGTTTGAATGCCCCCCCCCCCCAAAGGCATGTTGGAACTTAACTCCCAATGTGGTGGTGGAAGGTGGGGCCTTCGAGAGGTGATTAGATCTCGAGGACTGTGTCCTTGTAAATGGATTAATCCATTCATTGAGTAGTGGGCACAGTTCTGATGGCCAAGCACCCACTTTATGCCACATGAAGTGGCATGTGAGCAAGTGAGGTTAGCTCTCTTCCTCGTGCAGTCCTCACCATGTGACACCCTGCATTGCCATGGGACCCTGTAGAGAGTTCCCACCCAGAAGAAGGCCCTTACCACATGTACCCCTTGGACTGTGGACTTCCCAGCCTCCAAAACTTAAGAAATAAACTTAAAAAATACATTTCATTTGTTTATAAATTACCCAGTTTCAGGTATTCTGTTATATGCAATGAAACACACTAATCCACACGGTGGTGTTATCCAGGGGGAACTTTCCTGCAGGGTGTGCTCACCCTCCACATCTCCAACCTCCTCTTCCACCTCTCACCACACAGCAGCCCTTGGGATCCTTTTG